AAAAAAAAAAAAAAAAAAAAAGAAAAAAAGACACACACACTCTCTCTCCCTCTCGCTCTCTCTTTTCATGACCCGCCGTTGGTGATCGACATTCAGTTCCAACCCCTCCGATGCGGTTCTTCCTAAAATAGGAACCTCTCTCTCCAGACAATTGGACAAGCGCCCACGTCGTCTCCTCTTTTTTTTTTTTTTTCTCCAGCGCGATCCGCCACTCGTCTTACTTCGGCTCTTATACCTTGCACTGTGATCACTCTCTTAGTCTGATGCATTAGACTTCCTCTTATTACCTAGTGAACCAGTCTTTCACATCACTTCAACTCTTATTGAGTGCGGGGTGCACCCTAATCCTCGTCCGGCCGTTGAGACTCACCACTTGTTTGTTTCTCTGTTCATCGACCCTATCCTCTTACTTTTCTTCTTCTATTTCTATCTCTTTTCTTTTTACCCTCTTCCCATCTCTTTCTACCTTGAGCTCTATTGCTGAAGGATTCATCGCCATGCTTCTTGCCTCCATGCAACCGCCAACGTCACATTATCCTCCTTCCGAAGCAGGTCCAACGGCCTCGCAAACAACTATGCCCACGGTCACTTCTCAGACCTCACCATGCCCATCGACAGTCTCACACTCAAACTTGTCCTGTAGCCTCTCATCCAACGTGACAAGTAACCGACGACCTACTACGAGACCCAAACTTACACTCCAAACGACGTCACTTCCCCTGACATTCGGCACTTCTTCGACGGGATTGTCTCTTTCGCTTGCTACCGGACCGACAGCGTCCCCCACGGTTCGCAACACTTTTAAGAATGCCTATGAAGTCGCCGTACCATCCTCTGCCACCGCTTCACCCTCAAGGTCATCCAATCACCGGTTCAGCAAACCCTCGTCGCCATATACCACAAACAGCCCTTATCAGCTCCCTCTTGGAGTCAAAAGTATTCTTCGCAACTCGCCGTTAGAACCGACCTGCAGGCGCCGGGGCTCAGTGGCCGCGATCGGGCCCAATGGTGGACCGAGCTCACGCCGTGTTTTTTTCCCCGCCAAGAAAAAAGTAAGCTATCGGCAGCCGCTGGAAGAGGAAATCCAAACCGTGCACTACACCGTGCGTCACTCCGATATCACAAATCAGCCCAATCCTGAATCCCACGAAGCTGGCTCCGGGGAAGATTCGGATTCGAACACGAGTGCGGAGCCATCCGATGCGAGCACGTCGGATGAAGATGTGGAGGCAAAATCGAGCAATAACCCCTTGAAATCATTCGGAAAGAAGAAGCGGAAGCACTTAAGTGCGGAAAAACAAATCCGGGCAGTTGCTCTAATGGACGGGATTGACAAAGATGGCTCCTCCACTCCACAAACGCCATGTCAAAATCGGGCCAAACGTCGCTGCGAATGGAGATGGACCCTGGGACCGTTAGAGATTCGGGATGGAAATGCCCAACCTTCACAGGCTGAAGAGCGGACAACACCCAACCCGACAGAAACTATACCGAACGTATCCCCTGCCTCTAATGCCACCACAATATCGCCGGACAACGAGAATGACAGCCCTAGATCCTGGGTCTCGAACCTTACGTCTTTGTCCAGTATCTCAGAGCAAAATCCCAGCCCAAGTTCATCCATCGCTCTAGAGGTCGTCACAAATGATGGTTGCAAGAGTAATATGACTCACGAAGCTGAACGATCGCACGCGAATTCAATCCAATGACGAGCGATGAAATGGAAACCAAGCATGCATTGATGAGTTTAGGATTTCCGATTATGATGATTTATGCATATAGAAGGCATGGGACCATGAGCCTTTTCAGCAAGCATCTCTTCATACATACATACACATGTTTATATACATATCAGGCTGAGTTCGGTTGAGGTTTCCAGAGCATGATTGATTGATTATTCTTTACATTGGGAGTTACATGAGAAAGCCTTTGCTTGTTTGATACCAACGAGGTTGGCGGCATGGTGCCATTGCATATATATATACACTTTTTGTTTTTCATCACAGCATATACATACCTATATATTACTCCTTACTATTCTAATAAATATCTACGGTGACACTTGAGACACGGTTGTGCACGGTTCTACCTTCCCTCGCACCATGTTTGACTCCATTCAAGGTCCTCCTCATGCGACACGAATACGACTGCCGATCAAGTCGTATTAAGAGAGAAACATGTGGACCTCGAAATCCACATTCCGTATTTAGACTCTACCGATCTGTTGATTAATAAGAACACGCACGCCGTTGAGGACAAATAAACAGTTTCAGCGGTAAAGTACGACGGTTCGCAAAGATGCCAAATGAGTAAACTGTTCATGGAGACTACTATGTAGAGTGTACGGATAAGTACATTGTCAACCCAACTCCGTGACATCATAATCATGCAGCGTCAGCAAGCCCTAATGTACAATTCAAACTCAAACTATTAAAAAAAAAAAAAAAAAAAAAAAAAAAAAAAACACAAAAAAAAACTCTCACTAACAAAAAAAAAAAAAAAAAAAAAAAAAACCTACCAAATTAAAAAAGAGGTTATACACTCCATACACCATTTTTAAAACTGTACAATATAGTATTTTAAAGATAATAGAATTATTATAAATCATTCCATGATGCGTGAAAGCATCAAATTTAGATAAATATAGATACAGTAAGCACGTACACCGCACTCTAATTACCAGTCTCAGTTTCAATATCGGGCTCCCGGCCAGTCAGGTTGCCAGTGAATCTCTTCCTCACTTTCCGCAGCGCATACTTTGCCTCATCACGTGCGAAGACCGCATTACGAGCCGGTTTCCATTGCATCAGGCCGCGCTGTTGTCGTTGCTCACTGCGTCGATTGGCCTTTTTCGTGTGCTTATTCCCTTTACTTGAGCTAGCGAGACTATCTTCGGTGGTGGAGGGTGGAGTTTCTGTAGAGGATAGCTGAGAGCCATTCAGAGTAGAGAGTCTTTGCTCTGTGGAGGTCTCGGTCCTGCTAGATGAGGAGTTGGAGGAGCCGTCGTCTTCCTCTTCTTCTTCTTCGGGGTGTACAGCCTCCACGGAATGGCCATCAGCGGAGTACGGTGGCTTGTCGCGGCCGGGTTCGGCGACCTTGTGTCCGTCGTGATTCATGAATGCGCTGGGGTCGTTGCCGAATGCGCCACTCCAATCTTGTCCTTGTTTGTCGATCCATTGGCGGCGTTCTTTGGGGTCAGCGTGCTTCAGGACATCGCGGCCGTCGACTAGTGATTTTTCATGCAATTGTTCCGTTTCTTCTGGGACTTCAAGAGAGATGCTTCGGGGCCGTACGCCTTCGGCGATGCACGCTTCCCATGTTTCGTAGGTCTCACGGGAGTGGTTGTCCACGACGTAGTGTTCATGGGACTCGTCGATGCCGGGAGTGAAGCGGCATGTGAACTGGAGTCGACCGATGATCTGGAGGTCTTCTAGTCCTGGCTCACGTTTGGCTTCCCAGTTTTCTTCTGTGATGTAATTTTGGGTGAGTCGTTTTCCGTTCTTCGTTGACCAGAGGGGTAGGTCGACGGGGGTGTCTTCGTTGTCTACCAGGTGCTGGAGCCAGAGGATTGCGTAGGCTGCAGCGCCATGTTTTCCTGGTGAGTAGAACTCAAATACAACGGGAGATCTGTAGCGGTGCTTTACGGGCAGTCGGGTACTCTTGTGGAGAGATCCGTTAGTCAAGTTGAAAGAAGTGTCCTGCCCTTCGATTGAAGCCACGTATCGTGGGATCTTGCCGCTACTGCCACCCGTCCGTAGCTTAATCTTGGCTCGATGGCTGAAGTTCTTTGCGATGATCTTATCCGAGGCGAACTCGAACGTACCGACATCCCATCCAAGCATGTTTGGAGGTAGCCGAGTTTCAACATGCCGCAAGAGTAGTGAGACGCGAATTCGTCCATATCCAATGCCGCCATCTAGAGGGTACCATCGGGTAACCTGCGAGCTCGTTTGGAGGATTTCTGATAGCTTTAGAGGTACCACTCCCAGAATTGGATCATGCTCTCGGTAGCGTTGGTCCCTAACAGTCACGGTAACGATGGCTGAACGCCAGTCTCGAACAAATCGCTCCGTGCCGGCATTAAATATGGGCTTTGAGCTGACAGCTTTCGGCCGCGTACGATAGACCTGCATAATTCACCATTAGCTTCAGTTGTTCTTAAGTAAAATTGGTGGGATCAGAGATTACCAGCTGATCATTTAATATAATCTTGCAATAGCTGGTTGGCAGGTCTCCTCCTTGTTCTTCCGTATTTTCTCCATACGGCTTCGCTGGTTCATATTCTCTTCCTTTTCGATACCGGCTTCCCTTGATATTTGCAAGTTGCAGGTTCACAATTTGATGTACCACAATACTAAGAATGCCACTGGGCCAGAGCGGGTCCGGCGGCGTGTGAGTGATAGCATCCTCCTCTTCATTGGTGACGACTCCCTTATCATCTTGGAATTGAGGATTGTCCCTGAGGTTCTCGGGTAGGTCTTTCTTTTTGCCGTCTGTCCTTAGCTCTGGCCTCAGTTTCGGTTTTCCGAAGAAGCCGACTTCCCAGTGTAGCTCACCGGGCATCTCGCTCCCCTCGTTGAGACCCTGCAGCTTAGATACTTGGGGATACATCCGCGCTGGATGCTGGATCATCTCACGGATCGGCAACTCAACCTTACCAACGATGTCATCTGCCGTGTTGCGATCTGAATCCCATAGCTCAACACTTAGATTCTCGTTGGCGCTGATAAGTTCCGGATTCACAAGTAGTGCTGCAGTTTCTTCCCAAACTGGATTCAGGTCGTCTGTAATCACCCTTGTGCAATACATAGGCTTGCCGTACTTCGAGAAAGAAAGATTTATGTATGGATCGCTACCACCACCATAGCTGCCACGCCTATCTTGCTTGCTCAGCCCAGTTGCACGGTGAATACGAACCCACATGATACCCAATGCTTGAGTCTCCTTGATGATATCGTCGCCTTTGAGTATCATACTGAGGTCCATTGTCATCGATTTGGGAGCTGCAAAGAGACCACATGCTGTACCAATGGCATAGTTGACGAAATTCGAGATGAGAGGGAGGTTCAAGATATTGACGCCAGCTTTGAACATCGGCATACATCCGGCTCTGATGTGAGGGATTCCCACAAGACTGAATGTCATGTCCTTCATAAAGGGTGCTTCGGGCATCAACTGAAATCTGATCCGGACAGTGCCAACCATCTCAATCAACTCCACAAAAACTGGGAAAGGAACTCCGAAAAGGCCTCTGATGCCCAGATAAAAGACCAACTGCATATGCATGTTACGTGCTTTGGAGGAAGCGGTTTGACCGGTCGGCTTTGCATGGTAAGCAAAGGAGGCTTCTATATTATAATAACTGCCACCCTCCTCCATGGCGGCGGCTTCTTGAGGGTCTTTATTCTTGAGATTCTCTTCACGAACATTGTCCTTAATGTGCTGTACATGCTCGTCCGGAAGGGCTCGCAAACTTAGTATCCGCAAAGGATTGTTCCCTTGGTCAATTTCGGCAATGCGAACGTTCTCAACTACGCTAGGAGCGGACGCCTGCATAATATCCTCGATCGTATCGGCAACAGGCGACAGCATGTCCGGGTTAATCAGGCCCCAAATGACTCCAAGAAATGAATTCATCCACTCGACAGATTCAGGCAGGAGATTAGCAATAGCCTAGAGGATGAAATATCAGCAATTGTAAGATCAGACGAAGGCAGAAATTTGACCTACCATTTGCCCTCGCAGTTGCTCACTGCTCCATTCCATCTCTCGGCCACTCCGAATAACTTCTTGTACCCACAGCCACACACCACTTGCAATGCAGGCAGCCAAAGGGAGGAGAGCCCAAAGTGAACCACCAAACATCCGGCCCACAAAGAGGGTTCCAAATACGATCCCTATGCAGAGCCCAGTCCCTCTTTTCTCTAGTTTGTCATACATAGGCTTGTAGGAAATGGACGGGGTTGGATGAAAGAGAACATTCGTGATTTCTCCGTGGAGGGGGACGTCGGAAGTAGTACCCTCTGCGATGGGGTCCGGAGGTGCCGTTATATCCTGATTCTCTTTGTAATCCTTGAGGCTCTGGCTTGGGGAGGTCCTAACATCCTTCATTTTTTTTTGCATGAACTGTCAGTTTGGGCTAGCCATAAGAGAGTTATACCGTGTTGGGATACTAACCGTTGGCTTTCCAAGATTGGCATTGGGGACTACCAACTACAGCCAGATTAACAATTGAAATGGTTACCAAACGAGTAAGGACATAGTATCATGGAATACATACCTTGGGATTCTTCACAACTTCCATCGAATCCGCATCCTGATCTTCAACCTCTATGTCGCGACCAGTTGTCGGGTCTGTAACCATACGAGTTTTGCCTTTGCCAGGTCTCTTCCGCGGTTTATGAGGCTTCGCCTCTCCGCGGGCATCTTCCTCCTTTTCCCTCGCGGTGACAACCTCCTCGTGGGCCTTACGGTCCTGCTTGTCTTTTTCCAAGTGCTCTAGGAACTTTTGGATAGTGGGTACCGGGTTGTGTGTACCATAATGTTCTCCTACCCGGTGGTGTTTGGGAGAATCAACCCCGGTAGTGTGGGGTCCCATGCTGAAGATAAGCCTTAACAAGGCTTCTCTCAATAGAAGCTATGGATAGACGAAAAAAGAAGGAAACTGAGAAACCATGCAAGTCAAACAGCGGCCCGAACTCTTATGCTAAATTTGGACGCTCTGAGTCCTGCATTGGACGGAGAACAAGGGGGGGCAGAAAGAATTGAGTTAAACGGAATTGAAGATGAGAGGGTGTTTGAAAGCAATGAGTAGGTTCTAGTCCGTGTCTTGCGTGAGAGGAACAGCAGCTCTGGTGAAGTAATGGCATCGTCCAGCCCTACCGTAGGAAGAACTACGTCATTGTGGAGGAACCCCAGACGTCAGCCAATGTCCGGTGGAGTTAAGAAGGTGTATGGACGGTCCACTAACAAGAAATAAGAGTCGCACTAGAAGGTAGAAACAGACTGAAGACACCAAGATATACACAGGACTAATACTAACTTTGCTTTAGGATTCGGGATACCATGTGGATGTCACTGATTAGGACCGTCTCTGATCAAGGCCGAGATGGTCTTGGCATACATGATGAATTGGCCCATTGAAGATGGCTGATATCGCCAATAGCTGTTAGTATCCTCGTTCCGCTAAGCTTTTCTTTCTCTGTATTAAAATAATATGAGGCGACTCATCATGAATGTGTCCAGGCCACTTCAGATTGAACGGTTGTGGCTCGATTTCTTCCAGAAATTACTCTGTGAAATGGTATCATCCCGACTGGTCGCAAGGCTATCGATAGCATGGGACGATCCTTGAGTGATGATGTCACACTGCTACTGTTTATATTTGTATTTTCATTGTGGGTTGGAAGATCAGCCATTCAAAATTATAAAGATTGCGTGTACGTAGTTTTACTGAGTACATTCCTGAAATGGTCGACACAACGATACTATACAATTGGTAAACAAATTCCCAGGCAATGTATATAATATATAGAGACATAGACGGGTAAACAAGGTAAATAAAACTTTGTTCGTTACAATAGTGTTATAGATACAAGGACATTCCCATAAAGCTTCTCTGTTTGTATGGATCTTACAGGATTATATATTGTGTTAAAAGCTATCTATAGACTATGAATCTGATATTGGACTGTCGACGGCTGTAGAATTACCTTAGCACTAGGCGATGATTCATACGAAGGAAGCCGAATCCTTCTCAATGCTTCAACACGTATCACCAATTGAATCAATGCCCTAGGCAGGAAACCACTTCTCCATATACTCACCTAGTAGTAGTACCTACTACGTAGCACTAACTAGGTAGTAGCTACTCCGTACTACCCAGGAAATTGCCAGTATATTCCAAAACAGGTTAGAAGCCTTTCGCAGCCTTACTAATCCAAAATGCCCCACAATTTCACGCATAGCGAATAAGAAAAGGAATCGCTCAACAAGCGCCAAGACTTATATTACCTGACATCAATCACTTTCATGTGGTCGAAGGACCAACAACATCCTACTCAACAGGTCGTTATCTATAAGGCTGTGCCAACTCACTAGCTGGTACTAGCGTATCGTGCACATACTACATACCTATCAATACAGTAATTGAACTTTATAATACGCACCGAATCCTACTCGAAGTCGATTAAAAGAGCTAATTCACAAATTCCCCGAGAATGTCTTCAGCAGAAGAGTCGCCAGCTCAGCGAGCAGCTCGTCTCCGACGCGAGCGTCGTGAAGCTAAAATCAAAGAGGGTGGTGCAGCGCGTTTGGATAAGATTACTAGTCTCAGCGGACGCACACCCGCAAGTAGTATGGACTCCCTTTTGTCTGTTACACTCACCACGCCGGTCTTGAGGTCAAAGAGCGAAGCTAACTTCAATTCTGCAGTGCGTGAAGAGACATCGCCATCGCCATCGCCATCGCCATCTCCCCAGCCTCCTGCGCAAGTTTCTTCCACACCGGAGACAGAAAAGCCTCAATCGCAACCAGCACCGGCACCAGCATCAGCACCAGCCCAACCAACGTCGAACCCCGAACCCCAGTCTCCCGAAAACCTACAAGCACAACAGGAGTTATTCCGCGCCCTTCTCCGCCAAGGTGGACCATCATCATCTGAGCAGGGTCCTCAGGAAGAGGATCCCACCATGCAAATGCTCAATACCTTGATGGCAGGAATGAATGGGCAAGATCAGGCTCCTGGTGGAGCTCCTGGTGGAGCTGCTGGCGGTCCATCATCAGCCGAACTCGTGTCTGCCCTCGGACTCCCTCCATTTGTCGCGGATCTTCTTGGAGCTGCAACTCACAAACCGACTGATGAGGAGAAGAAGGAAGTCCGGACATGGAAAGCTCTGCATGTACTGTTTGCGGTCGCTGTCGGGATTTACTTGCTCATGCTCATTGGAACGTCAGTTTCTACCTACGGTAGCCAGCCACCACCCCCTGCCACTGCACAGAACCCATTCCTTTACTTTACAACGGGGGAAGTTGTGTTGACTGGCGCGAGGTTAATGAGCAAGGGCCGGACCGGGACGGCTGCCGGAATAATGCTCTGGCTTCAGCTCTTCCAGGACATAGTCCGCGACGGTAGCCTTGTTGTGTTCTTACTGGGGATGGGCGCTTGGTGGAGCCGTGAGTGGACGGCCTATTAAGCATGATTGATGTTGTTGGTCGTTATGCACGTTACATCTATTTTTTGTTCTTTTCTCTTCGGATCTTGCATTGTAAGCTGTGATGGTATTCATATGAAAAGCAACGGCAACTGAAGCTATGACCTCCTGTTTTATAGTTTGAATGTGTTAATCACTACTTGTCATTATTGGTACCACCGTACAATATACTTCGCACTCACTTCTATCTATTACATTCCGTTGTATATGACTGATTATTTGTAAAACAGACTCCTGGTCTCCCTCCAACCATGGCGCCGCCATTACCAGGTCATCCTAGAATTACCTGTCAATATCTTGCGGAACAAGCAAGATCAAGTTATTCAAAAAAAGGCCCCGCATAGTCTTTCTCTGTTATATATGATTTAAGATCGCACAAACTGCAGCAGCTGGGTGTCACATTATGTCTAAATCTAGATACTCCGTACTGACGACAGATATATCAATTGCGAATATGCCTAAACCAGGTGACGCCTTTACTTATCCACCCTTTGTTACCGGCAGACTGTATACTATAGATAAAATACGGAATTGCGATTGGATAAGTACCGTTATACTCCGTACCTTGGTGGACTATCCGTAGTCCTCAAGCTGGCGTCGGGGTGACGTATACATACCTCAACATAGATAGTGCCATGCACGAGGTTGTTTGTTTAGCCGTGTCTAGAATCATCATTTTCTGTAATCTTGTAATAGGAAGGGTTATAGGGTACTATAATAAGGTTCAAATATAGTATGCATTGTAACAAAAGGTCTCTGCGCCACCTGACTCCAGATAGTATCCCAATTCATGTCGTAAATAGCTGATAATTTGGGTACTCCGGAGTATGGATTACTGGCGTAGCGGGATGTTGCTCCAGTATCAAGACAGGCCACAGAGACTGATGTTCAGAGCCCGGATGTTCCGAGGCGACTGTAACTAAGCAACGCGAGAATCCCAACAAGGGTATCAAACGCGCCATCTATTAGTGTGAAATCGATACTGGGAAGAACAGGGGTACCGGTATGTCCATCCTAATAAGTTGTGATGATCATTGGTCCGCAGATAAGCCGTCAAGTCAAACCAAGCCCACACTCATAGTGGTTCGCGCACTACGGAGTAGACTAGCGGTGGAATGATAATCAGGCCCACCGGGTGCGGCACAAGAAGTCAACCGAACCTTGCTGTTTTAAGCAAGTCCAGTCAGTCGAGATTTGACGAGACTGCACTATGTTACACTAAAGTTGCAGTCACTGTGGATTGCGATGACCAATGTAGCCTCCGGAGTGAGCTCCGTACCCTAAGCTGTGACAATGGATGGTAGGTCCGACGTAGTAGTAGGTAGTACCCACGTAGTATGAGCAAGGAGGGGAGGCCTCTATTTGAACACAGACGGAGGAACGAAGAGTACATGCCTATAGGCTAGTGCAAGTGCAAGTGGTAAGGAGGGAGTGGGTTCGAAAGTCTGTACCGGAGTCAACTAAGAAATAAGCTGGTGTGAGTTTTGACGAGTTAGATGATCATCAGTAGCCGCTAACCACCGCTAAATCAGGACCTAGTAGGAAGCGTGCCTGAGGCGGCGCAGAACAGGTGATTATCCGTTTTCCCGACGTAGTGTGTGGACGTGGAAGAGCAAAGTACGCAGTCGGAATAGGAACAGGATGAAGGGAAGATAACCTTATAAACATGTTTATGAGGCGAGTAACCATAACCTCGGTGTTCGTCACGGTTAACAAAGATGTCCGGGCTTCCGTGTAGCCGTCTCGGTACAGGCGATTCAGTGCCTGGAAACCCAGGCAGGGAAGCCGAGCGTTGATCATTCTATGGAGTATGTACTCCGTACTCCGGAGATGGTAGACTCTATGATGTTCGCGTTGCCGACCCTCTCTCCACATTGCCCCTCCCTTCATTATGACGATCTTGATAGGTGGCCGTAAGGACCACAGTCTTCTTCTCATGAGCAATATGGCCTACCCACAAAATCTCCCCACAGTCGTGGAGAAGTATTTCAGTCACATTTTCTACTTAGTCGAAGCTTGGAATCGATTCCGTGATGATCAGAAAAGAGCGATGAACCGTGATTTACCCTCTTAGGCAAGTTAGGACGGTGCCCAATGGGACGGGGACAAGTTGTCCAACAAAGATGTCATTATCTACCTCAATAAACTCTGAGCGATGAGCATAATATAACCTAGCTTAGGTATGGATGAAGTAATCAAACCAATTGATTTACAGAGTGTAACCCTGTTTCGGCGGGATGAGATAATTTTCACCTGTCAGTTGTGGTAAAAGTTGGGCTGTCATCAGCTGGCGCTTTTACTCCCTTCGGTAAGTAATGGTCATGGCTCGTCGGACTCTTAATTTTCGACCCTTGCTATGACCGCCCAATACTGTCCCTTGTTTCAACTTATTACCATGTATTATGATCAATTTTAATCTCGCCCACGGCAGATCCAGGCACACTGGTCGAGATATTCCCTACCGAATGAGGTACTATCCAGGATCCATCCATAATCCATCCATGATTGATACTATGATTAGTTTCCGCAAACGGCATTGAATCATCACGGTTTTCAATAGAATCATTGGTGCAGTGTTCTTGTTTGATTATTCTACTGTCTGTCCGTTAGTAGTACGAGATATATACATACATACATACATACATACGTACATACACAGTGCACCTTAAAGTTTTCCACCCCGCAGATGATGAGAAGTTACGAGATTACCCCTCCACTTCGATGGCTCGGCACCTGCTCTTGTGATACTCCGTACTGTCCCAACCAATAACCAAACATGTGGAAAATCCGATCCGCTGGGGCTGCATCGCACACTGACTCTCTGGGTAACACTTGAACAACTCTAGATCTATTAATCATTGGTCTGGCCCCATGGTGGTGGGAGCATAGACCCAGGGCACTGTATGTACTACCAAAAAACAAAACGGTAATCAAGGGAGTCACAACGGAGAGCGGGTTCAGTAATAAAGTAGTTAGTACGGAGTAGTAATGGACGGAGGATATTGACCCTTAACTTCTGAATACCCAAGGATGAACCATTTTCGATAAAATGCTGACGGATCCTTGAGATTCCTTTCCCCGGAGCAACGGAAAGAGAAGCTGTCAGGCCCTCTGTGAGCCCCGCATGGCCGAGTCTAACCATTTTCGACTTGCCGCGTTCGGACCAATGCGAGTGGTAGGTTTTAGACTGTACTTGTACTTTGGTACCTACGGTACCTAGTACGTACTCTGGAGTAGTAGTAGTACTACTAGTAGGTAAAAGGTGGATGCTGTTATTGGAGGGGGAGGGAAGAAAAAAAAAAAAAAAAAACAACCACCACCACCACCACCTCCCCTCTAATACTAAAAAGTGCAGGGTTCAAAATAATAATAATTAATAATTCCCATAGGTTTCAGTCTTAATTAGTATAGCTAAAGGAAAATGACTGTAATTGAATTCAACCTTCCTTCCATAAACGTATTTCATATTTTATCTAGGTTCAGTAGAAAAAGGTACCTATAACAGGTGGATGGATATGAACGTGAGCGTACAGTGTACACTGTATTCCATAAGGCGGGGAAAGAGGACAACCAAGAGGAATAGCAAGGCTCATGATTTTCCCTACGCTCTCTAAAAGACAGTAAACGATTGAACTGCCGGTAAAGCCAGAAGCACCGGTCGCGCGGAAGGATGAATGGTTGTTGGCGGACTAGAGATATAAGGTGACCGAGAAACCTCCACCGGACTGCCGGACTGCGGGACCTCAACATTGTTTGTTGGTCCATTTATTTAGTTTGTGTGTTGGATTCAATTAAATAACGCTTCTCTCCCTCCCCCGGCCTGAGACAAAGTCCCCATAAGCCCATTTCTCTTTTCATCCTTTCTTCTTTTCCGTTTTCAAACTGCTCCTTCCCTCTTCCTCTACACTACTACCTTACCTTGGAGGGGTTCTTCGTATTATACCCACCTCTCTAACTATCCCGATCAGATACCACCGTAATTAATTCGTTTTGGACAGTGAGTTCAAATAGTCCTTGCCGCCGCCACTTCATACTGATTGTCACGCTCATGCTGACCTCTTCCCCTCCGGAATAAGAACCGCTCTCTTTTCTATTTACCTTTTGTTTTTTTTCCCTCTCTAAGACTGTCACCGTCTCGCTGTTTCTCATCTAGTTCAAGCATCTCTCTTTACGCGCCAACGAATCATGGCCGACGGCAACGTGATGCCCCCTAAGCCCTCTGTGGTATGAAAAAAACAAAAAACAAACCCCAGATACTATACAGTCTGACGGCTGGCTAATCGCATCATTTCAGGTGCTGGAAGCCCACGAGGTCGATACCTTCCATGTCCCCAAGGCTTTCTATGAGAAGCACCCGACTGGCACTCACTTGAAAGACCTGGATGAATATAAGAAGCTCTATGACGAATCAATTCGCAGCCCTGAGACCTTCTGGGCCCGCATGGCTCGTGAACTCCTTTCCTTCGACAAAGACTTCCAAACTACCCACACTGGCTCTCTGGAGAACGGTGACAGTGCCTGGTTTGTGGAAGGTCGCTTAAACGCGGCCTTCAACTGCGTGGACCGTCATGCACTCAAGAACCCCGACAAGGTTGCGATCATCTACGATGCTGATGAGCCAAATGAGGGCCGTAATATTACCTATGGAGAGCTGCTTCGTGAAGTATCTCGAGTTGCCTGGGTGCTTAAACAGCAAGGTGTTAGGAAGGGTGATACTGTGGCCATCTATCTTCCTATGATTCCGGAGGCCATTGTAGCCTTCCTGGCCTGTTCCCGCATTGGTGCCATCCACTCCGTGGTGTTTGCAGGATTCTCGTCAGACTCGCTCCGTGACCGTGTTATCGATGCCGGATCTAAAGTGGTCATTACCACCGACGAGGGCAAGCGAGGCGGCAAGGTGATTGGCACCAAGCGTATTGTCGACGAGGCTTTGAAGCAGTGCCCTGACGTTACAAGCGTGCTGGTCTACAAGCGCACCGGTACTGAGGTCCCCTGGACCCAAGGTCGTGATGTCTGGTGGCACGAGGAGGTGGAGAAGTACCCCAATTACTTCCCCCCTGAGTCCATGAGCTCCGAAGACCCTCTGTTTTTGCTGTATACCTCTGGTTCGACTGGAAAGCCCAAGGGTGTTATGCATACCACCGCTGGATATCTCCTGGGTGCCGCGATGACCGGAAAGTACGTCTTTGATATCCATGACGACGATCGCTTTTTATGCGGTGGTGACGTCGGTTGGATCACTGGTCATACCTATGTTGTGTATGCTCCTTTGCTCCTGGGATGTTCCACCGTCGTCTTTGAGAGTACCCCAGCGTACCCCAACTTTTCTCGCTACTGGGATGTCATTGAGAAGCACCAGGTTACTCAGTTCTACGTCGCCCCTACAGCACTGCGGTTGTTGAAGCGCGCTGGAGACGAGCACATTCACCACAAGATGGCTCATCTGCGTGTCCTAGGCTCCGTCGGTGAGCCTATTGCTGCAGAGGTTTGGAAATGGTACTTCGAGAAAGTCGGAAAGGAAGAGGCACACATCTGCGATGTATGAAATCCGATTGTTTTATTGTCTTGACTCTCTTTCTAGGGCGCAGTACTGACCATTTTTTGCTGTTATTAGACCTACTGGCAGACCGAAACTGGCTCGAACGTCATCACACCTTTGGGTGGAATTACCCCTACGAAACCCGGTAGTGCCTCGTTGCCCTTCTTCGGTATTGAGCCTGCCATCATTGACCCTGTCTCCGGAGAGGAGATCTCGGGCAATGACGTGGAAGGTGTGCTTGCCTTCAAGCAGCCCTGGCCTAGCATGGCCCGCACTGTGTGGGGTGCTCACAAGCGTTACATGGATACCTATCTGAATGTCTACAAGGGCTACTACGTACGGAAATACTCGAGTAATTCTGAAAGATTGTGGCTAACTGGTGGTAGTTCACTGGAGATGGCGCCGGTCGTGATCACGATGGATACTACTGGATCCGCGGCCGTGTTGACGACGTAGTCAACGTATCCGGTCACCGGCTGTCCACTGCTGAGATTGAAGCTGCTCTGCTTGAACACCGTAAGTAGTAAAAAGAAGACGAAGCCAGAGGCCATTGACGCTGACATTCCATGACAGATATGGTTGCTGAAGCCGCCGTGGTCGGTATTGCTGACGAACTCACTGGCCAAGCGGTCAATGCATTTGTGGCTCTGAAGGAGGGCAATGAGACGAATGAGCAGGTCCGTAAAGACCTTGTTATGCAGGTTCGCAAGTCGATTGGGCCATTCGCCGCTCCCAAGGCCGTCTTTGTCGTTGATGACCTCCCCAAGACTCGCAGCGGTAAGATCATGCGGCGTATCCTGCGGAAGATCCTGAGCGGCGAGGAGGACAGTTTGGGTGATACTTCTACCCTGTCTGATCCCTCGGTGGTCGACAGGATCATTGAAACCGTTCATACTGCCCGGGGCAAATAGATGGACGACGACATGACTTATGAAAAGAAATACAAACACCCCCACCCCCCCCCAAAAAAAAATAAAATAAAATAAAAAAGATTGAAAACAGCGATAGTATGACATGATGTTCTTAATTCCTTTGCGCTGAACTGGGGCAGTGTTTGTGAAAGGCAGAACTATTCTCATGTGCGCGTTTCGCTCTGGCTTTACTATGTGATTCCCGTGTTCTGTCACTTGAAGAAGCGATATTATTCTGTTTGATATGTGTATCATGTTCCAATTTCTCAATATATATATCCTCCATTTTCTTTTATTCCGCTAAAATGATAGAACCCACTTCTACTTATAATAGTAGGTTTCCGAACGAAACGCACGCGGTTACTTTACATGCTCTTTAGCTTCCCTACTACTAGTAGCTGATTGATGGCTGACAACATTATTATTGTTATTTTTTTTTTTAAAAAAAAGGAGAAAACGAAGAAAAGAACAAGAACTAAAATAAGAAAACCAAAAATAAAAGGGGGAAATCACTTCTAGTGCTAACTACAGAGGTAAGGTAGGTTTTTTTGTTTCTCAACCTTGCAGCTGAAGACGCAGTGGGCCAGTGGAGGTCAAGCATTCTTCTCAGATCTTGTCCCCGCCAATAACACCCGGCCATTCCATTTGTCAACTTGAAATTGGACTAAGCTTGGTGGGCATCATGGATGCGTGAGGGTGACAAGCACTTGCTGGATTAGCGAATGGATGTTGCATCTGACTCGTCTTCAATGTCCAATATGGTGACCGCTACTCCGTACAAGATATTCTCTCGTCATATTTTTGTTCTTTTTGCACGATCTGCATGAACCTGTCCTTATAAATGGACGGACATCCAGCCCTAGCACTAGGATGATTTCTTTGAATCTAAAACCTTTTCAACTCCTTACTACCATCGCCTTTGTCCTATTTCAAAATGATGAGGTCTATCTCGCCGCACATGCTCCCAGTAGGAGAGCCCAACCCACCCAACGAGAAGCATGTGAGTGCAAACTCGATATTGGTTCAATGCTCTCATGGGCAGTACTGACTAGGGAGAACAATAGTCTGTAAGCGTGTCTCTGCCGACATGGGAGTCGGTCGCTGCTTGGGGCCGTCGAGAGCAATGGCTGTTGGACTCAATGCATACCTGCTATCCACGGTTAGCTACGCGTTCCTGATACCTTGCATTCTAGGCTCAATCGGGATAGGTTTGGCATGCATCCATCCGTACACAAATTGATGGATGCCGTATGTGCTCGATTGCGCACCCCCAAGGATTTGAGCTGTCTGATCTTTCCCTCGGCCGATGCCGCCGCCAGGTGTACAGCCCGACTATCAGCTGAACATCCCAACGAAACATGTCACACCGTCAAATTTCAACCACACCAACCAGTGGACGAGGAAGTCCTGCGATGGGCCACTTTCTTTGTCGTCCTGTTTCCACAGGCATGTGTCTCCACCGCCATGCATTTCTGGAAAGTGTTTGGCGACGGAATCGCCGGTCGTCATGCAGAGCATTGCCTCAGAGCGCTTCCCTCGATGGGTTCTTACGCAAAGGACACTGTCTTTGAAACTTCGGCCCCCTGCAGGGATCATTCCACGTGGGATCTACAATGGGTCAACTCGGCTGCGGCCGAAAAGGAATCTATCCGGAGCTTGATTGCACGTTTGGTCAGTTCCGACCAGCCGGGCTATCGTCGTGTCAGCAGCCACGATGTCTTTCTCTACCCTAAGGGAATGTGTGCCATTGCGGCAGTGGCCAGGGCCTTGGTACCTCATTCTGTGGAACTCTCTGAGGCGGTGATCTACGGGTACGTCAAACAGGTTCTCTTCTTCGATGGTCCCAGAGCTGATGATAGTTTTAGATGGCCATACGCTGAAACTCCGCTCTGTGTCAAAGAGAGTGATTACAAACGATCTACTCTGCTCAGCGCTGGAAGTAAACAAGAACTGGATGAGTTGGAATCCTCCCTTGCTGCCGGTCGTCGCATCCAAGTTTTGTTTTGCGAGGTCCCCTCCAATCCACAACTGCGGACTCCTGATCTGCCGCGAATTCATGCCCTGGCTGCACAGTATAATTTCATTGTAGCGGTCGATGACACGCTCGGCACTTTCGTCAACATCGATGTTCTACCCTACGTCGATGTGATTATGACCAGCTTGACGAAGATCTTCAGCGGCATGTGTAATGTGATGGGGGGAAGGTGAGCGTCCTGTACTGCTGAGACGATCCGAGCCATTTTCTAACGAAGCTGTATTGCAGCGTCGTTGTAAATCCCCAGTCGTCCCACTATACCACGATTTATTCAGCTCTCACAGCTCTTTACGAGGATACATATTTCCCTCTCGAAGCAATGATTATGGCTCAGAATGCCTCCGACTTTGAAGAGCGAGTCCAGCAATGCAGTGCCAATGCCCTGACCATCGCCAATTTACTCGCGAAACATTCTTCGGTGGCCCAATTGTACTATCCTAGTTTAGTACCCTCACGGCAATTCTACGATCATGTGCGGCGTAAGGATGGTGGCTACGGATATTTGCTTAGCATCGTCTTCCGCAAACCCGAGACTGCTATTCGTTTCTATGACGTGCTGGACATTTGTAAAGGACCTAGCGTCGGGACCAACTTCTCTCTGGCGATTCCATACAGCCTGCTGGCACACTTTCGGGAGCAGGACTGGGCAGAATCCGAGGGTGGAATCGACAGACATATGGTCCGAATCAGTGTTGGGCTAGAGAAAGAAGAGGATCTGACCGCGAGAATCCAGGATGCGTTGACGGCAGCTACGACAGATTACTGAAGTTGTAGTATTACTCCTAGGATAGATGCAGTGTAGACTTGGGAGATCAGGCTTGATTCAACTATAGCAGGAAATAAGTGCTTTCCATGCTTTTTTGATTGATACCATGAGCATAGACGCCCTAATATTTTCAGATAAAACACTAACTGTAGATCGCACCCTCCGTTAGTATATGTATATCAGCACATTAACTGAATGCGGCGACATTATCTACAGTGGACTTTTCAAGGATAAGTAAAAGAAAGGCAAGGCCATCAGCCGCACGTGACCACATGATATATATGACAATACCATACCAAGATTACCAGCGTTAGCCTCAAGTTGACCGGTGAACAGGCGGTATCAGTGACAATTCCGAGGTCCTGCTGCCGTAAGCGAAGGAGGCAACGGTAACTTTACAACTACCTTCTCCCTCGCCCATCCTGTCTTCACAGCTCTTTTCCCTTCACCGTCGCGTTTGTCCACTCTTCTTTTCTCCCACCCCTCCATCTTCCTTTCTCTTGATTTCGATATTTGCAATCGAGGACTTGTGCACATCCTACCTGAGACGGTGAATACCCGTCTTAAGCCGGTGTGGGTCCTTTTTGTTTTTCGAGAAATCAAAACAGATTTTCTTTGCTTTCTCTCTTTCAGCGCGTCGAGCTGCTTCTCTGAGCAACACACGTTTGTGTCTATTTTGTGAAAGCGCACCGTAGCAGAGCATATCGCCTGCTGTTATTTGTTGATACAAGCTTGTTAATCACCCTTCGCACAAATCTTGACAAGTTTTTAGTCTCCGGACAACTTCGAACGAATGAACCTATAAGCATCAACCCATACCAAACATCATGTCTTTCGGATTCGGAGGATTTGGTCAAAACAACCAGAGCTCCGGATTTGGAGCTGGCTCTGGCTTCGGTGGAACGAGTTCTGGAGGAGGTAGGTTTATAAACCATCATGTCGCTGCTTTTTTTTCTCTGCCTTGGACCTGTGACTTTTTACCTTTCAACCTTCTTGGGATTTCTACTGGTTCTACAATCGGTCCGCACTGGTGCTCCTGACGTCGACCCGCGATGGTTCCGCTTGACTCTCGACATACCAACACTCCGCGGATGTTTTCGGCTCTGGGCAACACAGTTGGTGCCGCAAGAGAAGGGATCGCAGCTTGATTACAGTCTCTGACAGCATCTTCCCCCGTCATCTAGGCTTTGGATCTACATCGTCCCCATTTGGTGGCGGTAACACATCAGGTGGTGGCCTGTTTGGGAATACTTCCAGTAGCTTTGGTTCCGGAGGAGGTACGTGTCCAATGACGATGTCTTCATGAGCTTGGCGATCCTTTCTCTTCCCTGCTCGCCTCGTGGACGGAACTCTGGCCTTTTGCCATTCATGGAAACTTGGCATCCAACATCACCACGACTTGCTGGTGAATGCGCGTTAGTCCGGTACCTCTGATGTAGTGAGGGAAACGAACAAGTGAACAAAACCTCCTCTCTGGCCATCGGGGATCTGTGTCCAAGGACGAGCTTTCTTTCATATATATTTCAATGAATCTTTTCATATATTGTTTTTAACGCAAGCCCCGGCAGTGCAACTGACTTTTTTATTTACTTAGGATTTGGAGCGGGCACGCAGAACCAGTCAAACTCACTTTTTGGTAGCCAAAACCGGACTGGCGGCTTTGGGACTGGGACTTCAACCGGTGGAAGTCTCTTTGGAGGCGGCGCAGGAGCTACAACAGCAACAACTACTACTCCCAGTGGTGGTTTTGGTGGTTTCGGTTCAACCGGAAACACTGGAGGCTTCGGAAGCTCGAATAACACCACCGGCGGAGGCCTCTTTGGCAACAAGACTGCCACTGGCACTGGTACTGGCACTGGCACCGGCTTTGGCAGTTCAACTGGTACAACAGGTGGCTTTGGCACAAGTGGCGGCTTTGGAAGCGGCACTGCTGGTTTTGGTAGTGGAAGTGGAACTGCATTCCAGCAGGCCGTTCCTCCCTCAGATGGTACTGGTAGCACGCCATTTAGCCCTTTCACCGAAAAGGATGGTAACACGAGTGTGACCAACCATTATCAAAGCATTTCCTTCATGCAACCATACAACAAATACTCATTTGAGGAGCTACGTCTGGGTGACTACCAACAAGGCCGAAGATTTGGGAATGGGAGCGGACAGGCCGGTGCTTTTGGTACATCAGCATTCGGCGGAAGCGGTTTTGGTCAACAGCAGCAGTCGACTGGGTTTGGAAGCACGTCTTCCCCTTTCGGTGGCACCAGCGCCCCTGCCTTCGGCCAGACACAGACCCAAACCACTGGTGGATTTGGCTCCACCTCTAGCAACCCTTTGTTTGGGTCCAATAAACCGGCGACCTCTCTATTTGGAGGAGGGGCCACCTCAACGGGAACGTCACAATCCAGCTTATTCGGCGGGGCCACCGCGACTTCCGGCGGCTTTGGCAATACAGCCAACACCGGAGCTGGCTTTGGAACTGGTGGAACTGGTGGAACTGGTGGTCTCTTTGGCAACAACACCACTAATAACCAGCAGCAACAACAAAACAAGTCTTTGTTTGGCGGAGGCGGTGCGTCTACTGGGGCAGGCTTTGGTGGCTTTGGACAGCAGAACACCAGTACGTCTACGCCGTTTGGTGGTACTGCTGCTACCTCGTCCCCGTTTGGCGGCGGTCAGCAGCAGCAGCAGACTACTGGGGGAAGCGCATTTGGCGGGTTTGGCCAACAGAACCAACAGAACCAGACTCAGACTCAGAACAAAGGGCTGTTCGGCGGTTTCGGGCAAAACAACCAACAGCAACAGTCTTCGACACCTAGCCTGTTCGGAGGTGGCGCTGCTCCTACGGGGAGCTCTTCTCTCTTTGGCCAGAATAACCAGCAGCCATCGACTGGCACTTCCTTGTTTGGAGGTGGGAACCAGCAACCCGGAACTGGATCTTTATTCGGCGGTGGAACTCAGCAGCAAGGCCAAAAGAGTAGCCTCTTCGGGTCTGGCACCACTGGTACACCAACCGCGACGAACACATTCGGAGGCTTTGGCAATACTCAGAATCAGCAGACCGGAACTGGTGGCCTGTTCAATACACAAAACCAGCAACAGCAGAAGCCTAGTCTTTTCGGTGGGAGCACTGGCACCGGCGGTTCCCTGTTTGGAGGCGGTGCTACAACCACTCAGAACACGGGCTCCTCGCTTTTTGGTAACACACAAAACCAGCAGCAGCCGCAGACTGGGGGTCTCGGAATGGGTACATCCAGCCTCTTCGGTAACACGCAGCAAACACAAGCTCAACAGCAGCAACCTCAGCAGCCGGTGCCTGGCAGTCTGCAGGCCTCCCTCCTGGACCCAAACCCATACGGGAACCAGTCCATCTTCTCTGGTCTGCCCGCTCCAAGTGCTCCTAGCCCTGGTCCATTGGCGACGCCGCTTGCTTCATCTATCAAGCAAAAACAACGCACCCCATTGCCAGTTTACAAGATTACACCCAACGCTGCTAACCGTCTCGTTACACCGCCAAAACGTCAAGGGTACGGGTTCTCTTATTCGACTTATGGATCGCCTTCCAGCTCTACTGGTACTCCTGGCGGGCTCGGCAATAGTCTTCTGGGTGGCAGCTTGCGTGGAAGTGTCAACGGTGGTCTTGGGCGCGCTAGCTTCAGCAAGAGCTTTTCTACGAGCAACCTTCGCAAAACCTTTGACCCTGAGACTGACAGTGTGTTGTCTCCAGGAGCTCTTTCCTCTGGCTCCTCTCGTTTGTCCAGCGGTAACCTGAAGCGCCTTACTATTGACCGCAGCTTGCGGAACGATCTATTCTCACGACCTGCCAGTACACCTGCCGCTGCGATTACGAATTGCGAGGATTCTGCTCAACCCACGGATAAAGCTAAGAAGAAGGTTAGCTTTGAATCTACCTCGGATGCTACCACAGGAGGTGAGATTGTGCCGGTACAGTCTCAACCCTCCGAGCCCACACCAGAAGAGCTCGGTTTCCTTCGCTCAATTCGCAAGAGCAACACCGTCAACGGGCTCAATGGAATTAAAGAAAATGGCACTCAGCCCGAGATGGAATCTGTCCGTGACAAGGATCTTCCGGCTGTCCCGGAAGACTCTGAGCAGACCGCAGTTACGGATGGTCAATCACGGTTGGCTTTCGTCCCCAGCGGCGATCCACAACCTGGCGAGTATTGGATGAAGCCAACCCGGGCTGAACTAAACAAGATGGGCCGTGACCAGCTCAAGCATGTTGTAGGCTTCACCGTCGGCCGTCAGCGTTGTGGTCAAGTGACATTTGATGAACCCGTTGACTTGACGAACATTGATCTGGATCAAATCTTCGGCGGTCTTGTTGACATCGGCGTGCGGAAAATTACAGTGTATCCAGATGAAGCAATCAAACCTCCTAGGGGCAAAGGGCTGAACGTCCCATCTATCCTTCGAATTGAAAATTCCTGGCCGCGAGGGAGAGACAAGAAGTCCCCATCACCTCTTACCAGCGGGCCTCTTTTTGAAAAACACGTCGATCGCCTGAGGAAGGTACACAACACCGAATTTATCGATTACGAAACGGAAACGGGAACATGGGTTTTCAAGGTGCCTCATTATACTACATATGGCCTTGACTATGATAGCGATGATGATGATGAAGGTGAGAGCCTCAACCAAAGCACTTTGAGTGCTGCTCCTGACACACCGACTCCGAAGGCTCATACTCCCACCAATCTCGATAATACTGTGGCCTCGGAGCAGATGTCCACCTTCTCGACAGATGATTCTTTTCTCGGTTCGGTGGCTGGTGTTGACGATGACACGTTCGATTTCAAAAAGCGTAAATTAGTCCCAGGGTCGTTTGGCAACCAAGCCATGGTAACAATGGAAGATGAACACTCGAACTCCGGCGAAGATGAGGAGTCTTTTTTAGGGGAAGGCTCCACGGGTTCAACTACTGAGCAAGAAGGTGACGATGTCACTGAAAGCCAGCATTCTGGCGAATCAGAAGTTGAATTAGATGAGGACGAGGAAATGGACATGGCGGGCACCTTTCCCTCACTTCATCATACCGTGGAGCGCGATGATACCAAAAGCATCGTCAGCTTAAACGAAAACACACAGCCATCCTTAAAACCATGGAGTACACCACCCAAGGCTCGTCTTGATCTTAGCGGTGACTGGGCTGCGCAGCTCCAACGAACCATTAGTCCCAGGAAGCAGGACCGCGACGCACTGCGTGAAATCCAGGCAAATGCCTTCACGGACAGGGCTCTCCACGATGATGACACCCAAGAGCCTGTTGCAGACACTCGACAAAAAGGGTTTGCAACTAGTATCGATTTGATGAACTCCTTGTTTCAACAACCGCGGAAGCAGCAGACACAATCTCCTTCGAAGGCACGCAATACGCAGCCTCGAGGCTTTGAGGTTCGACCCCCCCCCCCCCTTTTTTTTTATCTTCCCTCCGTTGGTTTTTAATCGTTCGTACCTTGCCGAACCGGTGTTACACTATGCCAAATGAGCCAAAGTGGAGATCTTTCGAAAAAAGTAGACTAACCTGAAATCTCCATCCCAGTGGCCGTATAACAAAAAGCCGAAGACATTCGCTGGCGACGCTAATGAACTGAGCCAGGACGACCTTGCTTTCCACCACTCTTTCAAGCCGCGGTGGGGCCCAGCGGATTCTATAATATGTGTTAAGAACGGAATGGGGGACATCCATTCCGCGGATGGCCGTTGGGAGCAAAGGTTTTCTATCACTAGCGAGGAGAGGGACATCACTCTGCTGGCTTCTAACGAGTCTCCAGAGTCGAATGTAATGCTCGATGCGCAAAAGAAGCAAACTACCATAAGCCACGTTGATGATGTTCCTCTCGCTCGATTGACCAAGGCTGATTTCCAGCAATTCGCACAGACGTCCTCCAGCTTGGCGGATTCTGACCAAGAGCGATTACTGTGGCAGTTGGTTAACATTCTGTTCAATGACGAAATCGAAGATGACATTTCTGCCGGCGTTCCACCCCAGCTTCGGTCAAGGTTCATTCACCGTATCAAGAAGGATCGTCTAAGTCGACTGTGGGAAGGTATTGTCCGAGAAAAGCACGCACATACTCTGGGCAAGGCCAGTTCGGCCGAGGAACAGGCTATCTACTTACTTTGTTCGCATCGGGTTGAGGAGGCCTGCAATGTCTTGATTGCCAGTCAAAATCTTCACCTAGCTACTCTTATCGCGCAAATTGGTCGAGACCCTACCAGCCGTGCAGACATGGCGAAACAAATTGAGATGTGGCAGCAGCATAACGTTTATTCAGAAATGACCGAGCCTATTCGAGCCCTGTACGAACTTCTGGCAGGCAACGCCCTCCGCAGTGAAGGTAAATCAGGCGGCGCACTGGAGGATCGTGCTTCTACGTTTACTCTCACCGAACGATTTGGACTTGATTGGATCCAAGCATTTGGTCTTCGTCTGTGGTACGGAGTCACTGATGATGAACCTATTGAGGCCGCGGTTTCGAAATTTCTCAACGATCTTGGGACCGGCAACGAGCCCGCTTTCCCACACCCATTCCGTCAGGAGAGTGCCCGGGAATTATCGCATTCAGCATCCGATACACTTGGTCAGGAGTCGCCTTTGTGGGTTCTGCTTAAGCTCTACTCGATGACTCTTGGAGCAGCTAAGGATATTCCGGTAATGGAATTCCCTGCTGCTCTGCTCCCGGAGTCCGTGAGCGGAGATAAACTGTCGAACCGACTCTCCTTCCAGCTGTATCAGCTCCTTGCCACTGCTGTCGGTCAACATGACGGCTTTCAGATTGATACTTTCCACGTGGATCAAATGGTATACGACTATGCCTGGGAGCTCAGCCGTAGTGACCAGCTCGACCAGACTTTATTTGTCTTACTCCACCTTTCACGATCTGAAGATCGTGAGCGTGCCGTGAAAGAGACCCTAGCGAGATTCGCTTCGCGGCTGCCCGACCCAGCCACTCCTGAAGGAGCCCCAGATACTACCTGGCACTACCTTACTACAGACCTGCAGATTCCCGAAGGGTGGATCTGGGTTGCCAAGGCACTTTACGCTCGGGATACCGGAGACGCTGCCCGCGAGGTGGACTGCCTCGTCCGTGGTAATAATTGGGACGATGCGCATGCCACGTTCTGCCGCATTGTTGGACCAACCGCCGTTATCGAACGTGACTATGCAACGTTGGAGAAGTTGGTGTCGGGCTTCGGCGAGGCCCCCGAGCGCAAGGTCAGAGGATGGACCAGTGGCGGCGGTGTATACGAGGATTTCCTGCGCTTAGCAACAGCAAAGAGCAGCAAGCGGGATGCCACTAGGCTGAATCGCTTGGTGAATGCGCTGGTTGCGATGGGCAATCAGATTAGTCAAGGATCGGGCGTCGAGGGATTGGAGGAGCGTGTAGCTTTTAAGGAAATGAGCCGGGCAATTGCCAGCTGGACGGCACACGAAGATAGCAAGGTGAGTTTACATATCTGTGCTTCTCGCTCAACGCCTTCTAAAGATATACTAACTCATGATCTTTTGGTAGGTGGTCGAGTTCTCGAGTGTGCTCAGTTTGCCTTTGACGGGCGATGCGCGAATCATGCAGACCGCTGAAATGAGTCGACGGTATTACGGTATCATCATGGCGGGTGCCTATTAAGCGTCTTTTCTTCTGTTTTTTGTTCTTGCTACGTTTCTTTGGTGTCATCCCTGTAACTTAGTGTAAATTCTTCCCCGATTATAATCCTTGGATTCCGCATTCTGCAGCCCTTTCATGGTGCTTCATGATTTCTGTGTTAGCTTAGGTACTTTACGATAGTGTGTTAGTATGTGAAATGCATCTAATAAGTCTCCAAACTACTCTACATTACTCTTAATTTTTCTCTACCAGTTTGACCATTCCATGACCCTCTATCTCGCCTAGCCCTTGTATATTATTATCCCACGTATCTTAAAGACAAGAGTAGTTGGTATACCCCTAAAGACTAATTACCACCGGAACCCACAGAAAACGAAGTACCTCCCTCTACGAAAGAAATTCCGTTCATGTATACCCTCCTTTTATCTAGCACCAAACAACGTCAATTACATTGCCCTAAGAACCTATACCAAAACTCAACCAAGCCTAACCCTACTACTGAGAAGGCGGCCTATAAATCAAAGCACACTAGTGACACCTCTTAAAGTCTGGAGGTCTGAAAGAAGTTGCTTAATTCGTATATTATAGACATTCCAGCTCCACCAGTAGGGCCGTTTATGATTTGCAAAGTGCCTTAGAACTATTGGGTATATTGACAATATATGCAACCTATGTTTTATTCTAGTTGTATGATGAGTACGCGATTTCGTTGGGTAAAAGATACACGACCCAGGGACTTAGTTTGAGGGAACGCTCAAATTACTCTGTTGATAGTTTAGGTGCCGCGTTGTTTAGGTTTAGGTCTCTTTTTTGTCTGTTGGTGAAGCCACGGAGTAGTGACGGTGCTCTTAGTAGTTTTCAATTACGGTGGGAGTTATGGTGGGGTGCATTGCGAGAGGGAATATTTTCAATGAGTACTCTTCTTCGTACATTTATGCTTTGTAGATCGAGAATTTTGCGTGTGCCCTTTCAGAGATTTAACAAAAGAAATAGTATGATTGCTAGTGGGAACTGTACATGATTGGAAATCCTAAACTGAACATGAAAAAAAGAGAATACTCCTGCTCGAACATCTTTATCTAGAGAAACAGGTTTGATTATTTTTCCCCCATTCATCCTATCATCAGTCTACAAAAAGCGGAATGATAGTTTACATGCCCGGGGAAATTAGCTTGCCCTCGGCCCTGCTGTTAGGGTGCCAGCCACCGGCATAAGGGGCCTGTCCGAGCTCCTGAGTATGCTCCCTGATTTTAGCCTCGAGTTCGGGGCGGAAATGACGGATAAGACCCTGGATGGGCCAGGCGAAGGCCTCACCCAGAGCGCAAATAGTGTGGCCCTCGACCTGCTTGGTCAACTCCTGGAGCATGTCGATTTCACGCTCACGGGCCTGGCCGGTCTCCATGCGCTGCATCATCTGCTGGGTCCACTTGCTTCCCTCACGGCAGGGAGTGCACTGACCGCAACTCTCGTGTCTGTAGAAGCTAGACAGACGCGAGATGGCACGGACAATGTCGGTGGACTTGTCCATGACGATCACGGCGGCGGTACCGAGACCGGTCTGGTTGTCCTTAAGAGCATCGAAGTCCATGAGCTGATCATCACAGACAGACTTGGGGATGACGGGGGTCGAGGAACCACCGGGAATGACAGCGAGGAGGTTGTCCCAGCCACCGCGGACGCCACCGCAGTGGCGGTCGATCAGCTCACGAAGAGGGATGGACATCTCCTCCTCGACGGTAACGGGGTTGTTGACGTGGCCGGAAATACAGAACAGCTTGGTACCGGCGTTGCGCTCACGACCGAATGAGGAGAACCAGTTGGCACCACGGCGCATGATAGTGGGGGTCACAGCGACGGTCTCAACGTTGGTGACGGTACTGGGGCAGCCGAACAGACCCACAGCAGCAGGGAATGGGGGCTTAAGACGAGGCTTGCCGGCCTTACCCTCGATGGACTCGATCAGGGAGGTCTCCTCACCACAGACATAAGCACCCATACCACGGTGAATGTAGACGTCGAAGTCGTAACCGGTTCCACAGGCGTTCTTGCCAATCAGACCAGCCTCGTAGGCCTCGTTGATGGCCCGCTGGAGGACAGTAGCCTCGTGATAGAACTCGCCACGGATATAGATGTAGGCAGCGTTGGCGTTCATCGCACGGCCGACAACGAGACAGCCCTCAATAAGCTTCTGGGGGTCCTTACGCATGATCTCACGGTCCTTGCAGGTTCCAGGCTCACCCTCATCGGCGTTGACGACCAAATAACGGGGTCTAGGGTCCTTATCCCAGTCCTTGAAGTTCATGAAAGACTATAGGGTCATTGTATGTTAGACCCTAGGGATCCGAAACCGTCTCTCGATCAGTACTTACGTATTTCAATCCAGAGGGGAAACCAGCGCCACCACGACCACGAAGACCAGAAGCTTTAAGTTCCGAGATGAGCTATAATTTAGCAAAAAAAACCTGCATTAGCATTGAACCAATCCGAGATAGAACATGCCACAGGATGATGGTCCATGGCAAATGGCCGAATGCCTACCCAGTCATCGCCCTTCAGAACAATATCCTTGGTTCTATGCCAATCGCCGTATTTCATTGCCGACTTCAGATCGGCGCCATGGTGTCCGTAAAGGTTTGTGAAAATCCGGTCCTGGTCCTGCAGACCGCCATGATGCCGTACTGGGGGGGTGTTGTCCTGGACGGTCGCGAAGGTGCGGGCAGCCTGGCCCTGGACTCGGAGGGAGCGGGAGGTAAGGTTTGTGAGGGTGGAAGACGAGGGAGCCGCCGCTCGAGATATCATTGTGATAGCTGGCCCAATGGCTGCGGGGAGATTCGGGTGAGAGGGAGGAGTGGAAAGGGTTCACTGATGGAGACTCGCTGTCGTTGAGCTTCACAGGCGCGGCAATTCCTGCGCTTGCTGAATATCCGCCTTTCGCCCGCCGCTGATTGGCCCTGTCTAGGTCACGTGATAAAAGCTGAGTCAGATATCCATCGGCCTGTCTTACTAATCCTTATGTTTTTTGAACTGTATAACCTATGTGTACCTCCTTCACACCAAATGTACATGCTCCATTCTACTGCGGAATATACAGACATGACTCCGTAGAGAGCATCACTTGCCCTTGCCCGGGCTGCCTTGCGGCCAACAATGCCAACGGTTCCTCTGGTACCTGCACACTTTCTTGCTCCGTAATCATCCATGCCCACCGGAGCCAGTTGGGGGAAAGCCACCAGTTATCTCCCTGCCATTCTCCGGTGAATTTCTCCAAGCCGGAGAAGATAGTACCGTTCCGTAGTTTCATACCCTCAAGTACGTTATCAAACATGTCCAACAGCTGCTCGTCATCCTCATCCTCGAGTGCCCATAACACATCTTCAGGAGGAGCTGGGTAGTTCTCGAGAAGGCATCTGGCCCATTTACTGAGTCGAGATGGAAGCAAAACTGTCCCATGGTTAGATTCTCCAGCCGTGTGTGCCCCTCTGATAAAGCAGAGGAACATCGGGAAAGCAAAGGGAGATGTCTCAAGGCTTCCCCTCAGCATCGGGATAGCCCTTCCAGCGTTCTGAGTGACCCCCTGTAAGCAAGTCTTGCAGGGCTGTTGTATCTCAGCGGGAAGTATGTCGAGCAAGTCATCCAACACAAATAGCTCTCCATTGTTTGCAAGAACTGACTGGCGTTCGAGAATTCGCACCTGTATTCGAGACCGTATTTCCTCTGGGAACTTTCCTGGAGGCACACGGACCATATGGGAACCAAGAAGTTGTTTTGTCTCCTCCCAGCTTCCTCTAAAGTTGTGCTGTCGTGCCCGGTTTAGAGTCCATGATGCAATGACCAAGGCCGTTTCTGACAGCATGATTTGACTGTCACGATAGATTTTTGCATGGGTCTGCTTGAGATTACCAGGGTTCTGTAGGTCTGCCGCTGCAGATCTTAATTTCACAATATGTGTGATCAACTCGATGATGATTTGGCCGAGGGCGGCAAGAATGGTTCGCGAGTTCCCGTAAGCGTCTGGGATTCGGATGCCTTGCTCCGAGATCTCAAGAGTCTCCAATTCCCTATTGTTAGCTGCCAATATGGAGACAGCGTTGAAAAGTGCCGGGGAGAAGATTGAATGCTCCATCGGCGTGTCAGGAGCAAGAAGTGGGTAAAAGACATTGAATACGTAGTAGGGATCATCCGTCTCTTTAGTTAGTCCCGGGAACATCTGTAGCTGCTGAGATCTTGCCATCTGAAGTGGACTGCCAGGCGGTGCTCGTAAGCTGACAATACGATAGTCACAAGGATTATTTGGAAGGCAAAAGCCATAATTCATCATTACTGGCAAAAGAGTTAGCTAACCCCACAGGCCACCTAGAATGTATGTAACACTCACACTGCTCATTATTCCGGGGTCCGTAATTGTTGGAAATCTCCTGACCGGCAGCGACGTCTTCCAGGACTAAGAACACAACACTCTCTTTGCCAGCGCGCCACTCTACTTTTGCAAGTGGGCGATGATTTAGAATGTCAATGAAGGGTAGGAGCACAGAAACATTTTCCTCAGGAAGCTGCGTATCGGGAATCACACCAGACAGCACTTTAGCGGAGAACGCGCGCGAAACAAAGATGGTCGACGCCCAAAGATAAAGATCCCTATATGAGATTCATCAATTCCGTGTCGTCGGCCATGAGCAGACACAGTTATAGCTTATTACTTACCAAGTATACTTCTCAGCGCCGTTAAACCCAGCCTTACAGAGCTCGGTGTATACGGTTTCGTACTTCTCCTTTAATAAATTGGCTTTCTGTTCTCTCGCTGCGGATAGACTTGTGCCCTCTAGCCATGCTAGGTCATTTCCTTCATAGTAGAGAGGAGTGGTCAAAGCACCAGGCTGAGGAAGCGTCTTGATATACGGGTACCAGAAACCCTCCTTTCCCTGGAGGTACTGGCCGATCAAGAAAAAGATTGATGATTCTTCCTGTCCCGCCGCTTCCAGAAAGCTGCGAGGGAAATGGACTCCGTGCTCAGGGAAAGAAACAGAGTTTCCATCATCTGTGTTGAAACTGTAGCCGATAACATTGAAATACGAAATTGTAGAAGTAAGAGGCGTTTTGATAATATGAGTATTACTGGAAACGCCCTTTTTCCAGTCTTTCTTGACCTGGAGATGCACGCCGCGCCGTTCATCCTTGGCTATTTCAACGCTTTCGTGAAGCTGGCCACCGTTGTTGACCATCC